GTGGGGACGAGGATGAGATGGGGATTGGCGTGTGGGGCTGCCGGTGGGCTGGTCACATCCCCCGGGGCGGGCAGACCCCTATATCAGCCAGGCTTGCAGGGGCAGAGCCGGCACTGTGCAAGCGTGACATTTCCCAGCCCCTTGCCCACCCTGTCCAGCCATGGATGACATTTATAAGGCAGCGGTAAGTACCTCCCTTTGGGATGTGAATGTGGGGGGGAAGTTTTAAAGGGTTTTCAGGAATTTTACAGTAGATTCCCCCAAACTGTGATCGAGTTAATTCAATGGAGAAACACAAATAAACGCTTTATGGGTGGCAACTTTTAATCAACATCATTATCTGTATCCTATCCCTTCAAGTGCATTTCTGTCTTTGGCTGATGTGTCCTTACTACCACCCCTGAGCAAGCAGTCCCCAGCACCCATCCCTGAACCCCAAAACCCCAACTTGTGGCACCATGTCTTTAAGAGAAGGCTGATGCTTCTGCCTCAAAGAGCAATAGTTTTACAAGGGCTCAGACTTTTCCCATTGATGGCTCTGAAGGTTTCACCCTCCTCTTGTAAGCGTTAAAGTCTCAACTGTGCTGCTAAATTACTTGCAATTACTCCCCTGGTTCTCCTCACTGCAGGGTGGGGAAATGCCCTGTAGGTGAAGTTATACATCTCAACAAAATCCTGTCAGTGTAAGAGATGGCTGCAGGTTTTAGCCCGGACAAAGCAAAGCAGCACTTCCCATGAAATGAAAGTATTCATACGGGTTAAACCTCACCCTCTTCTTTCTGGTGATTTATAATTCTGTCATTGCTACATTTCCCCCTTCCATAGCTGATTAGTTTTCTGGGAGGTCTAAAAAACCCTTTGGCTTTTTAAAGTTATTTCCAAACATCCTCCTCTTATTTGCTACTCCTGATATCTGCCCTGCAGAAATCCAGAATGTGAGCTATGCTCAGGGAATGCAGAGCATCCTAATGGCTATTTTAACTTACACAGCTGCATGCTGCACTCACTGTGTAAACCCCAACTATTTGGTCTGTAATAAGAGCACTGCATTGTTTTGTAACATAGACAGACAGTGGCACACAGGTGGAATAAGGATGAAAATAGATTCTGGATTTTGTGGATTGCTACTGAGCCTCTTCCATAACTGGAGTTAAAAGAGCTTTTTGGTGACTTTTTGTTTTTTAAATATATAGTTGGTCAGGTTTTAACCTGACCTGATTTTAACTGAGGGCACAAAAGATGTATCATACAAGTCAAAGGTTTTTAGAGGGAAGATAGTGCTTGATACATTACTGAAGAAAAAACCCACAGTGCTCACATCTCTTCTGTCTTTTGGTCAGCACTGAACCTCATGCAATGTAAGCCCTCTAGCAATCCTGATAGTATGAAAAGGCTCAGGAAAGGCTGAACTAAAACAGAGTCCCCATACCATCACCTCCAAAAGGGAGAAAAATGTGATCTGTAAAATCAAAGAAAATCCAGGTCTCTGTAATTAAGTTTTGTAGTTAAATATATTCTCTGAGACTCAAGGCACAGGTCTTCTCTTGCCTGTAATTAGGGACAAAGGCTGAAGTGCTTTGCAAGCCAGTAATGCCCACAGGCAAAAGGGTTTGTCAGCACACTCACAGCATGGGTGGAGAGCCCCACAAAGAAAGCTCCAGCTTCTCTCCACATCTCTGCCCTGTATATGAAGGTCATCCCTACCTGAAGCCTGTGAGCTTCAGTGGAGCTGGACAACAGAGGAATTTAGCTGAGAAGAAGTAACTGCAGCAATAGACAACCACCCAAAATTCCTACCCCAGATAGCAAAAACTTATCCCAAACACAGAGCCCCTTGACCAGGGAAATGGGCCACACAAAAGACCTGATGGACTTCCATAAGAATTTTGCTGCTGATTTGAAGGTGGGGGCACACTGACAAATGTGAGGTTTGAGTCCTGGGCATTAACTGCCAGCACTTTTACAGAGGCAAAACAAAACCAAGCCAGGCACAGCTGAGACAAGCAGCTTTTTCATTGATATATTCCCCAAGATTTTCACTGTAAGAAAACATTTACCTGGAAAAAAATTCAAGAACTTAAACTTCCCATCTGACTTCCAATTTGGAACATGGGATGAAGAAGAGAGATGATAAAAGCAAAACACAGCAGATTTAGTGTTACCATGGCCGCTGTAGTGCTGTGAGCTTAGTGCTTTGCCTTCCCACACTTCAGCTGGAGAAACCTGCCCCTGCAATGTGGAGAGAAAAGGGGAATAAAGCTGCAAACAGCACCCGTGTCCAGAGGGTTCTATAAACAGCTCAAGAGACATCTCTCTAATGAAAGTGTCATGCATTTAATTTACATTCAGCATAGCTCCAGATCTATCACTTGAGTAGTCTAGGAAGCTTCAAAAGTGAGTATTTCTTCATTTGCTGCATGCTAATGGCATATGTTAATATTGTATTTATGCCAAGTTCCCTACATGTGGCCAGAGAATCCAATGGATTTTCATCTTGCCCACTCATGCCTAGATAAGGGTGTGCAAACACAAAGCTATTTTGGGAACATTTTTAGGCTCTGTTAAGCGGCACTAAGAACAGTGCTAGAGACAAGTGTCCAGATAAAGGGCTGCAAGGATAAATACCAAAGCCTGGGAACAATTGGGGAGCTCATCTTTATCTCCAGCACCTCTCTCACCCAGGCTTATAAATAGCAAATGCACCAAGTGAGTCATGTTACTCGAGTGGCAGGACAGTGGTCGTGGACATTGGCCGAGGGAGCATTGCGACTGCCCTGGCTCTGCCCAAATGATAGCCATGAAGAGCCAGCAGCGACTTGCCTGCCTTGAGCAGCACCAGGGCCACGGTGGGCTTGGGCTTCCTCCTGCAATGGCAGTGCTAACACCATCCCTAGTGCCTTCTGACTTGAGAGTCTTCACCTTCTGGTGCGTGGGGAATGGGTAAAGCTCTCTGCCTACTTCCCACAGGCTCTGTCCCACTAAGAAAAAGCACTTTCCCTGCCTCTTGCTACAAGTGGGAAGGACTTCCACATGGCTTTTGTAAAACCATTGCTCTTTGGGGCAGAAGCATCAGCCTTCTCTTAAAGACATGGTGCCACAAGTTGGGGTTTTGGGGTTCAGGGATGGGTGCTGGGGACTGCTTGCTCAGGGGTGGTAGTAAGGAGACTTCAGCCAAAGACAGAAACACACTTGAAGGGATAGGACACAGAGCTGATGGATTCCTCTTTGCCCTCTTGTTGGTTATTGTAATTAATTAATGCTAACTAATAAGCTCCCACTGACTGCAGGGTTTGGGAACAATCTGCCAGCCTGTTTCAGGTAATGCTCCATGGGCCATTTCTTCAGGGAGATACCCAAAATACGCTAAAGAGAACAGCAGCTCCCTTCAGAGGCAGAAACCTTTGTAATAAACACCAACTTGGACAGAAGTAGACCAACTCTTAACACTCTGGATAGTGCAGGGAGTTTCCTGAATCTTGGGCTGAAAAATGACCACCAGGAATGGTCTTGTCCACTTCTTCCTCCCTGGGGACCTCCTTAGCACATCCCACATCTGACCCAGGCTCAGCTCACAGACAGGCAACCCTCAGCAGTGCAGCCATCCCACTGCGAAGCCTGCCAGCAACAAGACATTATCCCTAAAAGGTTGACAGAGGCAAATACTTTTCCCAGGGTCTCCCCTGCTTGTACAAAGGCTACTTCTGCTGCTGCTGCTCTAGAGAAATGATACTCACTCCAAAGGAATTGGGAATAATTTTTTTTTAAGGGAAAGAACCTCATAGACTACAAAAAGTTGTGGTGTCATACAACCCATAGTCCATGAGGGTCACTATCATGAGGCTTTGCAGACCTTTGCAAAGGCTGATGAACAAATAACATGTCCTTTTAACAACTGGTGATGCTGATGAAGGAAAATTACTTGGTCTCTTTTCCTTACAGGTTGAGCAGCTGACAGAAGAGCAAAAAAATGGTAGGTGCATCTTTAACTTGACACCACAGCCTAAAGATGAGCTCCCCGGCCAGCAGCCCAGCCTGCCTCAGCAATTTTACCCCAATGCTTTGGCCAGAGTGGCCAAAGGAATTTTGATCCACCAGCATTTCAAGCAAGGCAGTTTCTGTGCATGTGCCTGCGTGTTGGCACCATGTGATGCCCAGGCAGTGCTGGGGTGCATAGGCTGGGGAGGCTACGCCTGGGTGAGCTCTCTGCCCTGCCACCCACCTGCAGGGTTGAGGTGTGGAGCAAGACCCCCCAACATCTCCTCTTACCTCTCTCCCCAGAGTTCAAGGCTGCCTTTGACATCTTCGTGCTGGGTGCAGAGGATGGTTGCATCAGCACCAAGGAACTGGGGAAGGTGATGCGGATGCTGGGGCAGAACCCGACCCCTGAGGAGCTGCAGGAGATGATAGACGAGGTGGATGAGGATGGTGAGAGACTTGGCTTTCTTCTCTTGCACCACCCCTATGTCTGCAGGCATGGGGGGCATGGTGTGGATCAGGAGCACTGAGCATCTGAGCAGTGCTGGCAGGATCCATGCCAGGGACAGTCGCAGCCTGTGGGGAGCAACATCATGTGCTGTGATTTTGAAGGACACTAAACACCCACCAAACTTCAGCATGGTTCCTTTAGGAAATTTGCAGGCGAAGAGGAACTATAAAAATCATTATTCCTATAACGATCAGACTGCTTGAACCGATTTTGGGAGGTATTCTGAAATTGCACAGATCCATTTAAAAAACAAAATGTAGCAACTGCCATTTCAGAAATGCCACCAGATTCTACCCTCAGCAAAGTCTTTCACTGCTTGAGTGCACACACAAACCCCTGTCAATATTGATTAAATCAGTATCCTGGTGATCATACCTGACAAAATCCACTGTGTGCAAGTTAGGCAGAAATACCATACTAAAAAACTGGAAAATAAAAGCACAGTTAAAAATCAATGGCACAGCAGTTTTCATTTCTTGCCTAGAAACAATAGTACTGTACTGCTGGTGAAAAAACACACTGCATGAATACCTGCCTTCTGGAGTTTTTGTTATTAAGAATACCTGGGTGAGATGGACAGGTATCTCCATAGCAGGAATTTCCATTCATCGGTGCTTTCAGTAGGACTTTTGGTTCAATTTTGCCTTGGCAAAAAGACTGCAAAAGGTATGAATTCAGTGATGAAGTCAGTGCAGGGACTCACTCCCTCCAGCATCCTGAAAGCTGCTTCTTGCTGCAGGGCTGCTCTCTGGAGTTTTGGTCCTTGGTTACTAAAGGGAAGCACAATCTCTAGCTTGGCCTTGCCTGTCCACCCACTGTAGCATGAGCTGATGGTGTTTATTCTCCCTACAGGCAGCGGCACTGTAGACTTTGATGAGTTCCTTGTTATGATGGTCCGGTGTATGAAAGATGACAGCAAAGGAAAAACTGAAGAGGAACTTTCAGACCTCTTCAGAATGTTTGATAAGTAAGAGCCATGAGCACACCATGGCAGGGTTGTGGGAACAGTACAATTGTCCCGCTCTCCCTCCCAGCCTGCTGCTCTGCTCCTGAGCTTTTCTGTCCTCACACAGAAACGCCGATGGCTACATTGATCTCGAGGAGCTGAAGATCATGCTGCAGGCAACGGGAGAGACCATCACTGAAGATGACATAGAAGAACTAATGAAAGATGGGGATAAAAACAATGACGGCAGGATTGACTACGATGGTATGCCTCTTTCTTGCATGCAGCTGGTCACAAGTCCTTCAGTGTCCCTCAGGCACCTCCCATGGTTTTGCTTGTCTTCTTTGTCAGGCATGAGCCCATGCAGGCAGTACACCTCACCACAGACAGTGTTTGCACAGGGATGGGGGGTTTCTTAGGCTAGTAAAATGATAGCAAGGTCCTGGGGTTGCCTTAACTGTTCCCATGCTGCCAAAACCAGCCTGCACTGAAGCAATGCTGCCTTCCATCAGAGACCTGCCCATCCCCTCCTGCCCCCTAAACACAAGCACTCTGAAGGGCCATATCTTTGAACGCAGTGCTACTGAAAAGACCCCCAGGCCATTTCCGAGCTGAGCTGGTGGCCATATCTCACCCCGGGCACTCACCTCTGGCATTTTGGTGGCTGCCCAGGGTGACGCTGGGCTCCAGTGACATTTCCAGCTGGAGTCACAAGGAGCCCTCGCCACAGCCAGAAGAGCAGTAGCCATCCCCCCACAGCCTCTCACACACTGGGGAGATGGAAGAGGAGACAGGGCTGGGGAAAACTGCCAAGAGTGCACTTGGCAGCTGCGAGGGCACTTCAGTCCCACCTCACGCCCCTTGTCTCCAATGTCTTCCCTTGGCAGAGTTCCTGGAGTTTATGAAGGGAGTTGAATAAATCTGAGGCCAGATGGACAGCCCAAATCTCCTAAACCCCGCAAGCTCTGCACCTCATCTCCTTGGCTAAGTCCCCTGGCTACCAGCATGAAGACTGAGTGCTGAGAAGGGTGGCCGCTGGGAAAATAAACCGCGTTAACACCGAGTGCCTCAGATGGTTGTTCCTTGGAGGCTTATCGAGAGCTTCACCCTGGTTGCATACCCACAACTAACAGGGCCACTCCTCGGGGCTGCATTGATCCCCTGTGAGCCATGCATAGCAAGGGGACATCACAGCTGGAGCTTTAAGCCTCCAAGGAGGTATTTTGCTGCCAGCTGAACAACGGGGCCATGGGTGCTTCATGAGAAGCTGTCATGTTTCATCTCCTCACCCCTGCCATGGTGAGCGGGCTCAGGAGCCGGAACTGGCTCCTGCTGGTTTAACTGGAGTATTGGTGGCATTTTAGTGATGAAATGTGAATTAACAACCACTTATGCTACCACTGAAATCCTCCCTGCTCTCACCCCGCGTTCCTGAGGGGACACCCCTTCCTCCTCCCGCCATCTTGATTGCCACCCTGCGGTGCATGCAGAAAGACGCCTCAGTTTTCTTTGGGAACATGAATAAAAGCCATTCCTAAGCCAGAGTGGGTGCATCCTTCCCATCCCACTCAGCCTGGCAGGGGGCAGATGGCAGCAGCCCTATGGCACTTCATGGTCCTCCAGCAGCCCCGGATGGGAGCCTCACTGCCATAACCAGAACACCCAATTTCCCCACAGAAATCATGTTCATTTGGGCAAAAGGTGCCCTGAGCGTGGCACAACTCCACTTTGTGTCTCAGTCCTCAAGTACAGGGTGACAGCAGAGCTGAGGAAGAGAGGAGGACAAGCCATGCTATTGCCAAGGGCCCCAGGGTGCCATCTTTTCTCATCCCAATTTTTTGCATTAGCAGCTCTCCCTGCACATAGCTGCCTCCTCCCATCGAATTACAGCCCCAGCACAGCTCACACATTGCAGTCATGTTGCTAAAATCAACCGTTTACCCAAGCAAAATAAACATTGGCCCAGCAAGGTGCTAGACTGCGTTGGTGCAAGCCCCGGCAATGCTGCCACGCCAGTGCCCCCGTGCCTGCTGCACTGTCCTTCCGCCTTTCCTCCCAAAAGTGGCTTTTGTTTTCCTCCCTGTCTGTGGAAGGAGCACCCTGAGCAGCTGTACTTGAGAGGAACTGAGCAAAGTAACCTGTTAGCTGAAGCATTTTCTTTAAAACCCAGGATATTTTGGGAACTCCCCAAATGCAAGCATCTGGAAGAGCTGCTCAAAGAGGTCTCCCTGAGGGTGCCAAGCCCTCAGTGCCACAGCTCTGCTGATTCAGCAGAACTGCAGGTGTACCAGAATCAACAGACACAGGAATGTGTTTGGTTAAACCACCCTGTGACAGGAAATGCTCCTGGGTGTTACTGTCTCCTGTTTCCAGTGAATCCATAGCCAGGAGATCAAAACCCATCATTTTGCACCTCCCCAGTGTAGCAGCAGCAGTTATTTCTGACCCAGACCTGCTTATGAGGACACAGCTGAAATGTTTTACCCCAGGCCCGTAAACCTCCACAGAGTTGCAGCCACAAGCCGGTGCCACCAGGTCTCCCCACAGCCATGGCCACCCAACCCATGGGCAACCCACACCCTCACATCTTGTCAGGCATCACCAACAGCCCCATTACCTTCCTCTGACCAGATCCAAACACCCAACATGAACATCTCCAAGATATTATCCACTGCTTACTGATAGGCTTTAGCTCACTGAAGAATGAGCAAGAGGAGGTAAGGTCAACCCCCTCCCTTCAGTCAACCTGGTGGCTTGGGGGAGGCTTAGCCCCTAGCTAGGGAAAAGGATGGCTGCAGAGAGCCACCCTGCCACATGTCTTGGCTCTCTCCCCTTGGTCCAATGGTACAGGGAGCCACAACTTTGCTGGCTGTCCACTCCTTTCTGAAAGTAAAACAGGGAAGATGGTGGCTGGAAAGAGAGGACAAAGGTCTTTCAGCAGCTGAAACATGGCTGTGTAAGAGCAGACACACTGGTACTATTTGGGCTTTTCCAGTCCTTAGACCAGAGGTGCCAGTAGATCAGCATGCTCTGTCTTAAGTCCAAAAATCTGCTGCAAGACCAATTTGCCTTAACACGCTGATGGTCCTCCAAAAGTACAACAGCAAATGCTGCAGGGTGGTGCGCTACGGGTGGATTTCACTGTTGGCTAAAACATGGAAACAACTGCGTTAGGAATGCAACACAACATGACAGGCCAGAGAGTTGGTTAGACAGCTAAAAAACCAGTAGGCAGCACAGAATCAGGCTAGTTGAAGCCTCCACAGAGAGGAGGGGGTTGGAGATGTGCTAGTGGTGAATGAAAACCACCCCGGGGAGTCCATGTATCTATCCAACTTCAACCAGTTCTGCATTTCTCCCTGCATGCATAGTGAACTTGTGGTGCCTGAAGCCCTTAAAAGGAAGACAACACATTTCTACGTGCACCACTTGAGAAAAATGCAAGTCTGTGAAACAATTATTTTTTAAAGGCAGGAAAAAAAAAAAAACAACAAACAAACCATTTTCTACACTCAAAAGCAGTCCCTAGACCTGTGTGCTCTGAACCCCCCAGCTGAGACAGGAGCTGTGCTGGCAGGTGACAGCAGTACGTGCTACCAGACACAGACAGTTTTCAGGCCATTTGATCTACCTGCATTTGCTGCCAGTAGATTTAACTCCTGCCCTGGTTTGCAGCTTTGAGACCTCTCTTCAGCCCTCTAAGTGACTGCAGGAAGGTCTGAGGACATTTTGTACACACCTCCCCAATAAAAGCTCCGCATCTCTCCTACAGTTACACGTGTGCTACCAGGGCAACAGCAGTATAACATGAAATAAGGTACATCAGATAAACATTTCACATCACCAAAACCCCTGTTGTGAAGAAACTCCTGCAACATCCTTGAAACTCAGGCAAAGCAGAACTCATGTTCCATTTGCTGCTTCTTGAACATACTACCGAAAGGTGTTAAAGGGAGACAGAGCACCACGTATCCAGTCCTACTTTTCATTTTCATTGTCCCCAGTGAACACTCTGCCCTACCATAGCACTTCACAGTGCTTTGATTTCTGCTCCCCAGTCTGTGCTCTCAGCTTTCAGTGCAATGGCTCACCTTTGCCAAATGAGCTGATCTGGTATTTGGTTACACAACCTTTACTCTTTTTTTTTTTTTTTTCAAATCAGAGGGGAAAAAAGGAGACAAACTGGAACCTGATATAGCATCCTCTTAACTGCAAATGGGAGAATCATCTGCAGCAAGTACAATATACAGCAGCAGCAAGCACAAAACACATAACCTGATGCACAGCCAGTAGTTGAGCAGATAGATGGTCTCAAGCTCATTGGCTTCCTACAGGATACCAAGGACTTAATCATAAGAATTTTGAGGTTTTTAAATGTCAAAGATGACAGAGCTCTGCATAATGGGAACAGTTTCAAACAGGCCACAGCTGCCAGTTCCGCCTTCTAGGCTCTATATGTAATCCTCTCAAAAAGGATCTTCAGCCTCACTTGACCAACCAAACTGTGAAAGACGATGAAGATGTGCCAGGAGGCCATGTCAGCACAGATTCTCCTTTGCAGCTTCCCATGTGGGCAGGGGAAACTTGTACAAGAAGGGAGTAAGTCGTGGACTGAGCTGTCACAGGGTTAGAAAACGCAATAGGTGAAGAGCTAGTGTCTGGGCATTGTCCATGTGTGCAGGGAGTGGACAACAACAAACCTAACACTGAGCTGCTGTGGAAGCTCACAGAATTCCTGTCTCTTGCTACACAATGATGCCTGGATTAAGGTTACGTTCCTCTGTGCTGCATTTTGTCACGCAGCCGCTATTTTGGTCAGAAAGTCAGCAAGTCCATATTTGGGAAGCTGTCCCACTGAAGGGCAGCATGAAGGGCAGAGATGAAAAGACTGCTTCTGAAGGCAGGCCCAGGATTGCTGCCTGGAGCCACAGGAAGCCCAAATCTTCACCTCTGCTTCTTGTTTATTCGCCAACATCCCTTTCTCAGCCTGACCCTTGCCTCTCTCTTCCCTCAAACCACATTCACTGGGGAAGACACCGAGGCGGTCTAGAGGCAAAATCTTAAAAAAAATTTAAATCTGAAGTTTTTAAAATTAAAAAAAAAAAAAAAAAAAAAGTCTTAATGCTACATTTAAAATGCAGAATTTAAACCAGGTTGGAGATCTGCAGACACATGGGGGAAGGTGTAGCCTGTCAACACCAAGTCCTCTGTTCAGAGGCTTTCTCTTTCACACTTCTTGTCACAACACACATCTGCAGCACGGACCTGCACTTACTCAGCTGGACCAGTTAGTCTCCTCCAACACCAGCAGCAACCCAAGGGGTATCTCCCTATGCTAGGTCTGTCAGCCCTAGTGAGTGCTGCTGGGCAGCTCTGGGCCAGCAGCTGAGGCTGTCAGACATGCATGCTTACCTGAACCACAGCTACACATCACTGTTGTAAACAAACATCAACATCCACAACAGTCCACGAGATACACACAGCACGAATCAGACAGCTGAGGGCTGCAGATGTCCCTGAGACTTTAAAAGCCCTCATGAGTTTTAAGTTAGTAAATCTCTTCCTATTGCTTGGTTCAGAGCTGGGTGGTATTTTTCATCAGTCAAGAACAACTCAAAAGTGGGAGCTGGGAAAAAACTTTTGAAATCAAGCCATGAAGAACTCAAAATATTTACCTTCTTTCAAAATAACGTTGCATTTTGGTAACTGGCTTAACAATTAAAAAATAAATACATTAACTGGACGTTTCAGATTTTTTTTTTTAGCTCAGGTGTTTGTAGCAGAAGATGCAAACATCCAGCCCTTGTGGCGATTTGTAGATTGACACCACCGAGTGGACAAGGGTTGGAATTACAATTTCAGGAACACTTCGCTGCATTTTAACAGATGGCTCGTTTCATGAATAGAAAAGCACCTTTTGAACCAGCTTTACTGGTTTGAACCACCTTTACCAAAAGGTGGGACCTGGAGGGTGAAGCCTTCTCCCGACCTGCAGGAGGACAGCAGTAACAAAACCCTGCCACAGCATCTCTCGGGCTTTTGAATGTCACTCCCTTGAACTCACCACTCAGTACACTGCAGATACATTCTTTTTTTTGTTACTGGAATGAAAAGTCCACTGAAATACAGTATCTGTGAAAAATATGCATACTTTATATAGTCAAAACCCCTTACACATTCCTATGATAGCTCCATTAACACTTCAATGCTTCCAAGTTATTTCAGAGTAGGACACACATGAATTCGAACACTAATTGCTATGATCTCTGACACCACAGCTAGGACTCACTACCCTCCCATTTTTCAGGATATCCAGCTGTAACTACCTTACTGGGACAGCACTATCAGCAGACACGCAACAGCCCTTGGAAGTCTCACCTTGCTGTAGCACCTCTAGGGACTACCATTAAAACCATGGTATGAGAGCTGAACATGCACACCCATATCAAAAATAGTATTACCTGTACTGAGTATCGTCACTTAGGAGTCCAGGCAACACTGGCTTCAATTTGCATGGAAATAAATAAGTTGTTTCTTGTTTAAATTTTACAGCTTAATAACCATTTCACAACTTGAAAGCAGACTGAACTACCAAATGCTCATGACCTGTACCAGTAACCACAGTATAAGAGCTCCAAGGAGGAACAGCTGGTTTACTTTCCATGCTGGAGACTGACCACACAAAACCCCTCTAACACCTCCAGCTGGCTTGATCTGACAGGGAACAAAACCACAAAGGCTTGATGCACAACTGGCATCTAAAATACAACTCAAAAAAGGCTTCTGGAAGGTCCTCCTCAAGTTTGGGAGATGAGACTTTGTTACATCCAATTTTATTTTTTACAAAAATGCTGTAACACGCATGCCAATGGGAAAACTGGTTCTTTGTCTTAAACCACGTCAGTCCTTTTTCTGTTGAGCAGCCTGCTTGGCATTGTTCGCCTGCATCTTCTTCAGCCCCTTTTTGTTGTGTTTCTTTGCAAATCTCATGTTCCTCAAGAACTTGGGATCAACCTATGAAGAAAAATAAGCCATGCTGTAAAAAGGGACATATGTAAAAACATATAAATCTCCAGATTGTTCCAATTATTCCCAAATGCTGGCTGTGATTAATTCAGATTTTTTTCTGATTTACTACATCAACAAAATTCTTTTAGCCATCTGTAACCATGCTTTAACTAGCTATTTCCCTTCACTTCCATAAACAAACACACAAAACCCCCCAGCAATAAGCATGCAAGAAGTACAAGTTGAATAAAACTGTAAACAAGACAAATTTAATTTCCCTGACACAGTATGTTCTGGATCTGAAGTACTACAAACCACCCTTGGCAGGTGAGCACATACACACGGAATTCCTGGGCAAAGACCAATGCCACTTCCTCAGGCCTTTCCTTTTTACATTAAAGTCAAAAAATACCAGCACACAAGAATTGCTCCCCAGTTTTCTTGTCAGCTAACAGCTAGCCAATGCCTCCTGTCACAGCTGGGACCAATTCTCAGTACTATCAACTGCTCTAGTATTGATAAACACTTGCTGTTTTTCTAGTGTGAGGTCTCCCTGCCCATGGCAAGGGGTTGGAAGTAGATGATCTTAAGATCCTTTCCAACCCAAACCATTCTATGATTCTATTTTACTGTAAACAGCATTTTAACCAGCACACATGAGTATCGGGATTTTGACATCTTAACTCATGCTCAGTGAAAGGAGACAGACTCAGAGACTGACGGAGTGTCTGCAGGACTGGGCTGAACCTTCCCTGAGCTATGCAGAAAACAAGCTTTTAAGTCACATCCAAAAAGCCAATCATCACACCTACAAAGCAAACAGAATCATAACCCTCCCCAAATCCAAAATGTCCTATCTTCACTTTCAAGTGGGGAAAAAGATCTTGTTATATCACTTGTCTAATCTCAGAAAAAGCATAATACTGCCATTCTCATACGTATCGTCCAGAAATGCTAATACCTCTGAACTTCAGACTGAAATTCTCTGGACAAGTAAAACAGTAAATACAGGAAAATAAATTAATACTGAAAGATACAGGAAGTAGGAGAGCAAGCATGACTAAAAAGGGAGAAGAGCTATCCAACTGACATAAGTTTGTTTCACTTGAAGCAGCAGTTAGTGACACCCACCTGAGCAGGACAGAGACAAAACTGCCTAGTAAGTTAAGAAGCATTTTAGCAGACACACAAGGGTGGATTTCACATGGGTCAGAAATATCACAGCTGCATGTAAGGTAAGCAAAAGACAAAACAGAAACCCACAGTGGTTCTGACCATCTGAAGCACAAACCCCTGTCTGCAAAAAATACACCAGTCAAAATAATACTAGATTTTTTTTCCATGGTTAAGCCTCAGTAAAGTAATTACATGGGAATATCAATAGAAATGCTCACCCCTTTGAGAGATTCATATCTATGGGATCTGGGTTTCTTGATGCCATTTCTGTGCCACTTACGGGCTACGAACAAAGACAAGAAAACAAGTTAACATTGCTGTATTACCTTCAAGTCCAGATGACCCTACCAAAATGATGGTGAAAAGAACATTTTCTAACACTTCCCATCCAGACTAAGTGCAAATTAATAACACATTTCTATTCTCACCCCTCTGCACTTCTATGGGTTTCTAATCCAAGCATTTCAGCCTCCTCATCAACTAATAATACACCAGAAGCAACACCACTGGCACAATAAGAGGCCTCAACCATTAAGAAGCTCAAGCACTTGTATTCAGTATTAAAGGGCACCATTGTGCACTGTGCAAGCCCAAGCAGAACCTACTCTGTGAACTCTGCTAACTTACAGCAGTGATAAAAAACCCCAACAAGAACTCTTTTATCACTGTGGTCATTTCTGGATGGCAGAGGACCACAGGCTGAACACCATTCAGCAACGTGCTTAGTTCTAACACATGAAGCTTTTTCTTTGATTATAGTATTTTTATACTGAACCCAAACAAGTCATGTCTCTTGCAACGCTCTGTCCACCAAACACCCCATTCAACCCCTACATACCACCACCTCCTTCTCTCACTGCAAAAGAAACACATAACGCAAGGAACACCGGGCGGCCGCGACCGAGCGGGTCGAACCCGTCGGTTAAAACCTCTCAGCGAAGCTCGTCCCACAGCGACACCGCCCCCCCCCGTCTGCTCCCGGAGCCGCCAGGCCCCACACCGGCCGCGCCTTACACTGGTTGTGCGTGGTGTGGTTCTTGGACTTGGCCATGGTCGCACCTGCAGGACAGAGAGGCACGGCTCAGCCGGGGCGGGCTGCGCGGCACGGCTCC